TGCCCGCTTTTACTACAATAAGATTTTTTTTTAAAAAAATGAAGAAAGCAGAAAAAAAAAAAAAAAAGTCACCAGTATCACACTCTCCTGATTCCAAACAGCTTGAGCACTTCCTGTTTTAGTAAGGGAGAATGACTTTAATTCCATACTTTAGACCAGAAACAATACCAGGCTCCCATGATGAAACCCAGCACCAAACAGCCCATGGCCACTTCACTCAGGATATTACCCATGTACTGAGCTGCTGAAACCGCTCAGAGGCTAAGTGACTGCTCTTACCACCTCCCTCCTACAGTCTTGGGTGGCCAAGGGAGAGGGCAAGATTCTAGCTTCTAGGGAGCAGGGCACAAAAGCTAACCAAGCACTTTGCCTTCATACCTAGCAACTGTCAAAAACCAAATGCCCCTGTAGATACTAGATCAGAGCTCATGGACATAGACTTTAGACCTGACCTGGTATCAGAGATACAGACCTGCACTCCAGCAGGACATACTCAACTAATGTCTTGATTATTGCAGGTCTTCAAGTATGCACCTGAGCCTGTGAAGATTCCTAGGGCGTGAGACTAGCTGCAGCTAAACTCAGAAAGCCCTAACAGGGGGCTGGGGATTTAGCTCAGCGGCAAAAGTGCCTGCCTGGCAAGCGCAAGGTCGTGAGTTCGGTTCCTGGTACCGGAGAAAAATCAAAAAAAAAAAAAAAAAAAAAAAAGAAAGCAAGAAAGCCTTGACAACCAAAGGACTGTGCACTGTTTTCACCTCTACCACCACTCCAGCCTTAGGCTGAGCAGCTACTGCCAGTCTACTCTTCACAAGCATCCTCTCAACCTACACTTGTATGAAATGGAAACGTGCATCCCATTGGATAGACTCATGGTTTGGTCTACATCACCACACAGTGTGGCATGGGTCTAGGTGCCCATCTGAGATTGTGGGTACCCGTGGTTGTACTAATAAGGTATAAGCAAACTCAATGTCAGCCTTGGTTGCCAAAAAAGTGCCTTCACCAATAATGTCCCAACCTATGACAGAATAGCATGAAGTAAGACTCCATTCATTGAGGGTAGCAAAAGATAGTAAGTGCAATACTTTACCTTGGGACTCATTGGCAAGCTAATGAAACATAACACTGGAAAAATTCTAATAGCTTCTACTCCCAGGCCAGGGTCATAGAACATAGCCTCTGGAACAGTGCTAGTGCCATAGGCAGACATATAGTCCAGTTTATTGGACTTCTGTTTTGGATAGTGTTAATTGTGGATGGTTGTAAGAGTCATGGGCCACAAGTTCAGTTCAGCAGAAGGGAGCCTATAGCAGCATAGACTTTGGTTCCATCCAAGTAGTATGCTAGTACTGGTGGGCTGCCCAGGTTAGTGTGCAAAACATAGTTTCACTATTGGTGACTACAGGTATAGCACAGGAACTGGGCCTAGTTCCTCCACAGAAATACTGCTCAGAGACAGACAGGTTTTCCTAGTGTTCAGTAATAGAAAGTTTATGATGGCTACAGACAAGGTATCTAGACCAGAAATGGGGTTGAGGGAGAGGCTTGGGAGACAATTCATCGCTTTTAGCTACTCCACAATCAATGTTGTGCAATACACAAATTGCATATTTTTAACTAATCTGGACTTGGATCACCTTCTAGTGCTGAAATAGTGACTACACACATGCAGCAGACTCACCGCAAACTTGGATTTAAGGTTTCCTGTGTTGCTAAAATAGAAGTGACTGAAGGCTTCAAGAAAGTAGGCTGCCCAGAATTTCTGGAAAGACAAGAACAAATGAAGCGAAACTATAAAGACTGGAATAAATTTGTAAATATTGAGTGGCCAGACATTGTTGCACACCAACTGATATCAGTCTCACATAATAGTCAAAATAAGGCACAAGGAACAGCTGTATCGTGACCAGTATGTGTGTACTACTGGATGGAGTATTTAAAATTGTATTTTAAGTGAGTTAAATGAACTCAGAAAATGCAGAACAGTGGTTTAATATTCCAACAGAGAAATTTAGAAAATTTGCAGAATTAAAAAAGTTCAAGCAGGTATACTTAAATTGAAACATACACTAAATGAAATTTAAAACAGGAGGAAGTCATCTACAGCAAAATAAGTCAAACAATGAAATAATTGGTGACTAATCAATGAAGCCATTAAAGGTTAAAAACAGAGGTTCCCAAGGCAGCAAGATAAGAAAAGTAGCACAAGAGTGTTTGTTAGTGTTAGAGTTGGGGTTAGGGTTAGGGTTAGGGTTAGGGTTAGGGTTAGGATTTGCTTGACAGTAAACTTTACCAGAAACCTTACAGGGTTGGAAGAGTGGCTTGAAATTTCCACAGCAGTGATCGGAATAAATGACAGCTAATAAATGTACCTAGAAAGTCTATGCTTCAGAAATGTAGATGAAAGGGAATCTCTGCACATACAAAACTCAGAAAACATATCTCTATCACACTTAATCCCATGAAATGCTGAAGGGAATTATTCATACTGACAAAGATATTAATGAGAACGTGAAAAAAAAAAGTATAAGACAGTATTCAATTCATCATTAAATTAACCTTTCAGCCTATTTCAGAATACTGTAGTATTCTAAATATGCAAACTATTCAGTATGTTTAGAAAAAAGCCTGGAAAGCAAAACAATTAAGATAATGAGAATTATATTAGTACATTAAGATATTGAAAAATGTAAAATTGGATATCAGAATTCAAAATATGAGGAAGTGTGCAAACATGCAGTTTTTATTAATATACTTAGAAATAGATTTCACTAGTGTGAGTGATTTCTTCAATGAAAAGTATAAAACTTTGATGAAATTGAAGAGGATGCAAAAAACAGGCAAAATAACCACAGTTATGAATTGGAAGAATTAATATTTTTGAAATGTCCATAGTACCCAGAAGATTCCACATGCTCAGTAAATCTCTGTCAGACTACTAATATTATTCACATAATTGTTGAGAAAACAATATCAAAATTTATGTGAAATCACAAAAAATCCAAATCGTGACAGAAATCTTAAGGAAATAGAATGAAGCAAAAAACATTACACTAACTGACTTCAAAATACACTATAAAACTTCAGATAACTAAATTGTATGTTATTGGCATCAACACAAATATAGACTATAGTCTATCAGAATAGAGAGACTACAAGCAAACTGATACATTCGTGAACACATGATTTTGACCAGGTGCTAAGAAAAAAAACCACTGAAAAAAGGTTGGCCTTTTTGAATACATAGTGCTGGGAAATTGGGTATCCACTTGTAGAAGAATGTTCCTAGACCTCTGTTTCTCACTAGTGACAAAAATCAATTTGAACTGAATTTAAAAATTAAACATAAGATCTGAAAGTATGAAACTAGTAGAAGAAAACAAGGAAACTCTTTGGGACATAGTAGTTGGCAAAGAAATTTTGGATAAGACCATAAAATCACAGGGAACAAAAGCAAAGCATTTACTAATGGGATCATATCAAAGTGAAAAGACTAACAAAGGAATCAATCAAGAGTAAGGAGACAAACTACAGAAAGGGAGAACATTTTCTACATGCACATCTGACAAAGGGTTCATATGTAGGATACATAAAGAACTGGAAAAACTCAATAACCAAAAATAATGCATATGATGGCCACCTCTGTAATCGCAGCACTCTTGGAGACTGATGTAGGAAGATTCTAAATTTAAGCCCAACATGGAAAATTTACTGACTAATTAAGACCCTTCACACTCACCCCACCAAAAAATAAAATAAAATAAAAAGGACTGGGAATATAGTAAAGTACAAAGGCCTTGTGTTTTGTTTCCAATAACACAACACACACACACACACACCTTGAAAATCACCTGATTTTAAAACATGCAAATGATTTGAATACACTTCTCAAAAAAAGACATACAAATGGTGAGTAGTGTATGAAAAAAGCAAGAGCACACCCCACCTCAAGGAAATACAAATCAAAATCACAATGAGATATCACCTCACTCCTTAAGAATGATCATTATTACAAAGAAAAGAAAACAACTGCTGGCAAGAGCGTGATAAAAACGAAACCACTGAACACTATTCCTGGGAGTTTAAATTAGTACAGCTATTGTGGAAAACAGTATGGAGATTCCTCCAATTATTAAATATAGAATTACCATATGATCCAGAAAACTCACTTTGGATATGGACCCAAAGAAAATGAAATCAGGGCGTTGAAGAGACACTTACAATCCAATATGCATTATAGCATAGTTCCAATATCGAAGACATGGAAACAACTTACGTGCCCATCAGCTGATGAATGGACACAAAATTATATGGTACACATACAAAATGGAACATTACTCAGCCATAAAGAAGAATGAAAACCTGTAATTAGCAACACCCTGGTGAGAACAGGAATTCATTATGTGAAGTGAAATAAATCAGGCACAAAAAGACAAGTAGTGCCTCATCTTACTTATTTGTGGATGCTGAAAATGTTCACTTCATAGTACAGAACAAAATGGTTATCACCACAGGTTAGGAGAATATGAGGGAGAGATGGGGAATGGTTGAACAGTGCTTTATAGTTAAATAGGTAAATAAAGTTTGGGTGTGCCATTATGTAGTAGTATGATTATAGCTAACAACTACGTATATATATTTCATAAAGTTAGATGAAAGGACTTTGAATATTTTTATTATAAAGAAATGATAAATGTTTGAAGACATAAACACATTTATACTAATTTAAACATCATGCAGTGTATCCATTGTAAAATATCATATGGTATCCCCAAAATATGTATAATTTTTATGTTTCATATATCAATTCAAAATTAATTTAAAATAAAAATAAGAACACAACTTAGATGATTTCATTAAAAACGAATTGGGTTCATACCTAGAATTTCGTTCATCCAGGATGTGATAGAAACAAAATACTCATTTTTATTCTCTTTTCCCTTACCCACACTGAGCAGAGGGTCTCCCGGGCAACCGGGGATGCTCATAATTTCACTTACATAATGATCAGCAACAAGCACAGCTGAAACACCAGGCTGTCCTGGGGAGGATGCCTCCCCTCCAGGGAGGAACGCGATGGAAGTAGTATACGTACACTACTGAGGTCACAAAGAGACCCTCACTCTTGCTCGGCATGACGACTTATTAAGACCCTTCCGAGACCCTGATTATGCTTACTTGAGAAAAATTCTTTTCAATGGACAATTGTAATGTTAGCTTTTCTCTAAGTTATATTTACCAGTTTTTGAAATTTATATTGAAAAATAAATGCTGAAAGGAAATAAAGAAATCAAGATTTGAGTTCATTTAGGGTTTGGATCATCTCTGTCCCTTAAAGTCCAATTTAAATTTCAAGTGACTGCATAGTAACTAACCTCAATCTCTTCTGAGGGTCACTGTATGTATACTGCTGTTTAGATCCTGCTAGAAGGATGCGAGGGAGATCTAGCTGTGACATCAATCCTCAGGGCTAACTCAGCTTCTCTGGGGGTGAAGCAAGGGTCCCCCTACTTCTCTCACAACTCCATGTGTGCTTGCCAAAGCTGCATGCTCAGTTGAAGATGACAACCTTCTCCTGTAGAAGATGTTCTTCATTAAAGCACGGCTCACTAGCTGCCCTTCCCCACTAGAACCTGCAAACAAACTCACAAATCCTAGTAGGAAACAGAATCGGCAGTGAGGCCCCTTCAAATCACAGATTAATGACTCAGGAACAGAGAGTCTTTTGTTCTCCTCTAGGTAATAACCTAGCATATTGTTTAGACAAAACACTCATAGACAGTAAAAACAGATTTCCAATAATTTCATACTAAGTCTACAATCATGACTCCATATATATGTATTCTTTCAAACTCCACTCATGTTCACATTCTTTACCTTAGGCTGTGAAAAATAAGAGGGAAGACATTTTTCTCTTTTGAGCTATTAAATTAGAGAATGGGGCAGCCATTTGTTAATAGAAACTGGTGTTTCTGAGTTTTGTGTTTGATCAGTGGCAAGCAACTAGATGATATTGCTGTTGTACAGGGAAAAATGAGGACGTGGTTTTTGACTCAAAGGCACCACTAACATAAAGGGGGTGTTCCTGTGAGAAATACTTATCAAGTAGCTTTAAAATAAATTGGAAAAAGGATAAAAGAAAGATGGGGGGAGGCAGAGAAGTGAGCAAAGTGTCAGCAGATGACCAGGTTTCTACTTGAAATTCAAATTGACAGCTGGCACTATTTGAATCATTCTGCATTTAATATAATCTGAATGGGGAGATGATAGTCTTGGATTTTGAGGAAATAAAGCCTTGAATATGAGAAGTGTAGAAGCTGCTGTTATTTTGCACTTCTCGATTCGACACACTTCTCTTCACTATGCTTTGAAGAAAATGAGGTGTAGATACTTTGGTTGTTTATTCCTTTGTCAGCACCATGCATAAACGATGTAAGTTCCACATTCATACCTTTTTATATGTAGCTATAAACTCTTAAATGGACCTGTTGAAATAAGGGTTAAAAACAAAATTTAAATATATGATTAGTTGAAAGAGAAGTATCCATAATGTGGAAAATAAACCAGGCTTAAAACGTAGTCATTAACAATAAAGTTGTCAAAGTAGCAAAAGGTAATCAGTTAGGAATGACAGGCGAAAAGGAAAATTTAATTAACAACAGAGATATGTAAATTACTTGTTATAGATCTAAGAGTACCACTTTATTTCACCAAAAGCTTAATTTTGTACACCTATTTCAATTAACACTCTAAATAAAAACAACTAAAAAATGAGGCACTTTTCATACAACAAACATTGCAATTAAGATATAAAATAGAAAAACGAGAAGAAAGGAAGATTCTCAAGAGAAAGTTACTGGGACAAGCATATAAAAATACTGACAGTATCTTAAACACACATGTACACTTAATCATCTCACAGGTTAGAGGAGGAAACTAACAGAAAAAGTTTTTTTTTTCTAGAGAGAATAGTCTTCATGCTTATGTTTTCATATTTCTAACTTCAAAACACCAAGAGGTCTGAGATGTGTGTATTGTTTCTGTTTTATATATGGAAAAATTGAAAATTTGGAGAATAACTTAGGCTCAGTCAGTCAGAGAAACCAGCAGAATTTGCACCCAAGCCTTATTGATCAGGAAGCTACTACATTCATTCAATCCTTTACTGATGTCTTAGCTTTCTTTCATGATTATCAAGGAAAACATGTGACTTAGGAAAATCTTATGAGAATTTCAGATTTACTTTGTAGCAAGAGAAAGAAGAATAGTGATTTTTAAGTTTTCAACTTTTTTTCTGAAAAGACCTGGTTCTGGTAAAGAAAATGAGTAGGAAACAAACAATGAATGATTTTAGGTTGCAAAACTGTCATGAAATGTGTGAAACTATAGGCAGTCACATCAGAACCCCCAACCTTCTTTCTAGGATGTACCCTACATTGGTAGTCATCCTACTTGAAGCTTGGAGTTGAAGTCTATACAGATGTATGTGTGATTTTTGTGTAAAACCTCTTTATGTTCTGTTCATATGTGAAATGTAGCAATGTCTGCATCACAAGGGTTGATGATGAATATAAAACTAGATGCTGCAGGTAAAGGACTGAATGCGGTACTGGGGTACATCAGGTGCTCAGACACTAATCCCCTTATTATATCATAATCTTTCTCATCAATATAGTGAAGAAACAAGACAGAAAGTGATGGCTGTAATTTGCTTTGCCCATGTCAAAGAACTTCAGAGTCCTGCTATCTATTTAACATTAAATAATGTTAAATTATTATGTGTAGATACTAGTTCAGTTCTCTTCTTTCACTCCAGATGCTTAAGTTCCAAATGCTTAAGTGATGTTACTTGTTGAGTAAAGTCTCCAACCTGACATAGTTTAGGTGTGCTTGTTCATGTGGATCCAATTCACCAGTTTCCAAATTTCTAATTTACTGTGTGAACAAAGACCTTGTGCAAATGTCTGTACATGTGTCCAGTTCACTCAGTTTCGCTAATTCTGCATATAAAGGTGGTGTTAGGAGAGTCAAGAAGCCCCCAAAATCAGTCCAGCCCTCTTCACTTCTCATTTAAAGTATCAGCCTGGCGAAGACAAATATTTTATGTAAATTCAACCAGAAGTGAAAGAATATAAATTACCTAGAAACCTATATGAATAAGCTGTGAATATAATCAACTATGAGATTTCAGAAAGGGCTGTTTTCATAGCTGTACATACTTTAAAAGGAGAGGCCAAGTATAAATATAGGTAATAAGGGATAAAGGTATTTAAACTCTTAAAATATTTAAATGGGGTTTGATTACATCCACAGACAACTTTTTGTGCCCTGTCATCTGGTGCCACTAAATATAGTCTTACTTTTTAGTAGATCAGAGCTGTATCTGCTCTGGGTAATTAGCCTCTTGTATTAAAAACAAAACCTATAAATATCACCTCATTAGTAGAATTGGATCCTGGCTATTACTTTTGCTCTTCATGATCTGGAATAACCCACAGGACATTTAGAAATATAATAGCTAGAATTACTGAGACTAGGATTCATGTACACGGGATGTTGCAGGTCATAATAAAAATTTGAAGCTCCTGGGTGTTACATTAATGGGCTCCAAAGGAAATAAAAATCAAAAAAGACACTTTAATTTTTGAACTTGCTCGTTGCCTCATTTCTACTCTTTATAAATTGTTCTTGATTTTGGAGTTATCGGCTCTGCATGTGGCAGAGCAGAATTTTAGAATCCTGCCAAACATTCAACATCATACTATTCAGGCATAGAGATGTTTATTTGTCCTATTCTTTTTTGTCCCTCACAGTGAAAACTACTGACATTTCCCCAAGGAGATAATGGTGAGTGGTTAATGCTTAGATTTTTTTCCAAGTGAGTACATAATTTCATCAATAGAAAATAATAATATCATTATACAATAATTCTAACCATCACCTGACATTAGGTTCAAATGGAGTTACAACATAAATATTCAGATGACAATACTTTTTAACCATGGAGAAGTTTAACTTTCCTTCAGCTTTTCCAGAGGTCACCAAGAACAGGTCCATTCAGTGTATTGGTCTTCAGGAAAGCTCAAAATCACTGCTACTCATGGAAGTGGTTCTAGCAGGCAACTGTCTTCTCCTGAATACATTGCAGTTTTATTCAGGAAGCACCTCTGCTACTGATGGTACCAGTGCATTATTTAACCTTTTTGCAGTAGGAGCTATAGTTTAGAAACTCTTCTTAATGAAATTGGAAATTGGAAAAAAGTAGATGGTTGGACAGACACAACCTCTAATAGGAACTAACTGTTACTTATATCCCTTCTCTCATATATCAGTTATAACCCACTAGAGTCTCTGAATCCTCCTGAGTTAAAATAAAAACAATCTTACTTTGTTTCATCCATAAAGTGTTTATCAAGCTTTAGCAAGTGAAATTGTGTTTAAAATCTGAAATAATCACCTTCCTGTATTCCTTCCTCCCTCCCTTCTGTGTGCTGGCCTCTGAACACTGTACTATGAATTCAGTTCTGTTTCTTCCTGTGCCTGACTTATTTCCTTTAAAATAAAGTCGTACAGATGCATCCCATTGTTGCAAAGGCCAAATTATACTCCACTGCCTAGGTGCACTACATTTTCTTTATCCATTCGTCCTTTAATAGACATTTGTGTTGCTTCTTTTCCTTGACTGTTGTAAATGAGGTCACAAGGAATACAGTAGTCTAGATATCCTCCGTTAATATAGATCTTCAGGTAGGATTGCTGGTTCATCGTCACCTGATTCTTCAAGTTACATATTGACTAAGTCCAAAGTATATATGGATTTAAGAGAACTAAGCACATTACAAAAAACCCAAATACTAATTGTTAATGTTGAAATGCATAATAACTCAAATTTGTAATGCTTTATAATTCTCTTTTTTGAGCTCCCCAACCCCATCTAATCCTGTAGAAAATTCCTTAGGTCCTCTTTCCAAATATATCAGAGTGAATCTCCTGTCTCCATTGGCCTAGCTAATCCACAGTGATCTTCTCTTCCCCAGGGATTGCAGAGTCAGTCTGGAAACTTAGTTCCCGAC